TATATATATATATATCTTTTTAAATAAAATATTTCCCATACCTTTTTCAGCAGTTATATTCAGTGGTCACAACCTCCTTTCTTGTCCTCCTTCCTAATGTGGCAGGCGTGTCTTTTCAGGTGAGGGGCTGGCTTCCTGTGTGACATTATACACAGCATACATTCCCCTTCTGTGTATGCTGGGTTGTAGAAGAGTTTCCTTCTGCAATTTACTGTCCCACACGCTGCTGTTGTAGCAGGGCTGGGTGAGGGGGCGTGGTGGCAAAGCAGACCACACTCTTATAGGCAGCTGCTTATGCTGGGCTGGGTAGGAGCATGGCGGCAGACATGCAGGCTAAGCTGAGCGCAGGAGTACATGTACACTGTGCACAAACGTGGCATCCTGTAACTTCTACATCAAGCACGCAAACTGACCACGCCTAAACTGATCTGTTTCCGTGCCTGGTTTGGTCAGGGTTAGATGGGAGAAAGGGGAACTGGCAGGATCACCAGGTATTTTATAGCAAAAGAGACTGCAGGGACATAATATGCAGCAGGCCATTTACTGTTTATTATTAAAGGAATGAGTTAATGTAATGTCCCTTTTGAGGTTTACATACATTTTCATGGTAGCAAAATAGCTAGGGCGAAAAGAGGAAAGAGTTAATGGCTGAATAAGGTTAACAAATTATTACTAAGGGGTTAAACAGAAACACTTTTTGTTTTGTTACTTACAATGTTCCTTTTAATTGACATAATATGCAGATCAGAGGTCACCCCTGTGAGCTATGAGTTAACCAGAGAAGTTGCAATGAAACAATTAGGACATTGCTACATTATACCTCTTCTTGACTGCAGCTGTCAGTTTAGATCTTTTCAGAATGATCTGCGCCTGTGTAAACAGGTAACTGTGGTCAAAGAGCTGTGGGGAGGAGGGCTGAGTGTACTACAAAGCCCAAAATATTTGAACTGGAATTGTTTTTTTTGGTAGTGTGTAGCACGCATCATGTACATAACTGGCTAAATACAAGTCCGCTTCCATATTGATATTCTCACAGGCTCCTTTTAAAACAAAACAAAGGAAATCAAGCTAATCGGTTATACCTACAGAAGAACTTATTGGTCTGTTTTGTAAGCAGGTGCTGTATTATGAGCTGCTAGCAATCCGAGAAGCCTGCATTAGTCTGGAGAAAGACTACCAGCCTGGAATCACATACATTGTAGTACAGAAAAGACACCATACAAGGCTGTTCTGCGCAGACCGAACTGAAAGGGTGAGTACAATATTATTTAAACAACCTTCTTTTTTTTTTTTTTTATTTATTCTGTGAAGCTTTCCATCTAGTGTGTGCAGGCGTTTTACATGCATTTTCCAGGCACTTCCAATGGTTATACCCTGAGATGTATAGGCATATAAATCTGACACAATCCTGGAAAATTCAGACTGAACAGGTGATATGGGGCTTGGGGGGATGAGAGATAGCTGATTGGTTGCTGTGCAAATCTGCTCCTGTTTTGATAAATTCTCCCCTTGGTGTCCGCACGAATTTCTCACTGCATACATTGTATTCTGACAGTTGCGTCAGCCAATGTCAGAATACCCATACAGTCCTTCAGCACTATTCCGCTGATTTCCCATCATGTCCCTTCATTCTAATGATCAACATTTTTTGAGGGGATAGGGTCCCCTGTGTACCTAGGTTTAGATATAAGCAGCAAAAGTATATGTAAATCTCATCTTCTCCTGATAATGTTTAAGGTTGACCTTACACTCTCCCAGTCCTCCCTGATCAGTGAGCTTTCCAACTACATTAAAAACCATTAGAGCAGATCAGGCAGCAGCAGGGCTGTAATAAAGCTTAACCTTTTATAGGTGAAGTTGAAATATAAAATTCTAGCTGCATATAACCAGTAAACTCTCAGTTATCCGACACACACAGAGATTGGTAGGTGCTGGATAACTGTAGTTCCTAGTTGCTTGAGAGCTAATAGTAACTCTCATGCAACTCCCCCCCACCAGCCCCATTCACCTGCTGGCTAGCTTCCGCAGCCGACAGGTGAATGTCTGCAGCCGGGAGCAATAGCCAGACTTCTATATCCAATAGCAAGCTGGCTTTTGAAGCCTCACCCACTGAACAGAGGTACAGAACTGACAAAGTTCTCTGTCCGGTCCGCTCCTCTGCACAGTGGGCGGGTGCAATAGCCAGCCTGCTATTGGCTATTTCTAATAGCAATCTGGCTATTGAAACCCTGTCCACTGATCAGAGGAGCAGACCTGAGAAAGTCAATAGCAGGTTGGCAGCAGAATGTAAACAAAGCATTTTGTTAGGAACTAAATTTAGTTGTTAACAAAATGTTTTAGTGTGCATCAAGCCACTCAATTTTTTATTTTTGTTGCCGGTTGCTTGAGAGTGCCGATTTGCTTGAATGCCGGATAACATGCACTGCTCAAAGATCCCCTTACAACCTCTGCAAGAGCCCTAAGGCTCCACATAATCTAGATTTTAGATCTAAATAATATTCAAAGCCCCAAAAGATAACCAAATACAGCTAGGTCATTACATAAATGCATAGCTGTAAATTTGCCTCTTGACCTCCGTTTTTGAATACATGTCTTTAGTTATTTCAGAAAAGTGCTAGTTGGCATATATTATTCCATTAATATTTTTAGTTTCCCTAATAGAATGTGTGGTTTTTCTGCTACATGCAAGTTACACATCTGATAAATCACGTGCATCTGGTTGCACAAGCATTTTATACATTTGATCACACATACATCTGTGGACTGTTCTCATTTGTGGAGGATTGTCTAGGTAATGACATCATGTTTCTGACAACTTACCATTTAATATTACGTTTTGCACACTCGTTCTTTACACCAGGTTGGAAGAAGTGGCAACATTCCAGCTGGTACGACGGTGGACACGGACATAACTCATCCATATGAGTTTGACTTTTACCTCTGCAGTCATGCTGGAATACAGGTAAGGTGCCTTTCCCTGTGATGTTACATCCATGTTTATTTACAATCAAAGGCACATTTAAAGTGTGATATATTGGCACATATCTGGCTGATACTGGCACATAGGGGTTTCTTACTAATGGAATAAAGACCGTTTGCATTGCAAAGTACATTTTCTCTCAGCTTAGTAAATAATTTAAAGCTGTGATCAATGAATCAACCAATCATGTTAGTAAAAATCCTTTTTTTTATTTTTTATTTCCTTGCACGTGATTGGGTATTGAAAGTGAACACATGTGCTCCTTATGTATTCACTCTTCAAAGTCAACGATCAGGTTACAAAGTAAGCAGCCTTTACTCCTTTAGTTAATCAATGCCAACATGTTTGACTTGTTGGTAAGAAACAGACCGTTTTAAGGTTTGAGCAGAGTACCTCCACCATCTAGTGGCCACTTAAGAAACTTTCATTAAAGGGGTTCTAAACCCTCCCCTTTTTTTGCCTTTATCTACTGCTAGCAAGCAGTATATATAGGCAAAAAGTATTTTTTCTAAAAACGCTTTAACAGCAGTTTACACTTACCCTGTTTTCGCCACGCGCTCCCGTCCGAGAATCCGAAACTGCTCCGGCGGCCGCAAAGCATCTTGGGGCGGGAGACGAGCAGAGACGCATGGTAAGTCTATGGACGCGTGCACCCGCATGCAGACACCGCTGGATCAGAAGTGCCAGCAAGGACAGAGGAGTCAGCGCTGGAGGGACAGATGAAAACATCAGGAAAGAAGATCGGAATAAGATACATCATTTAAGGTAAGTGCTGACATTAACATTGGGGGGACGGCAACATTTTTTGACTTTAATGTCACTTTAAGGGCTAGTTCACACCAGATGCAGTTGTGATGCAGTCCGTTCAGTTTGGCAGGTGCATCAAAATCACGTCACAATGCTTTCCAATGGGATTTCTGGTGCTCTGTTCACACCAGTGCAGTCAGTTCCGATAGTTACCCTATCTGAATGTATAGCTGATATATGCACAAATTAAACCTAGAGCCTGTTTAAGTCCTCGGTAATTTCAGTATCCTCTCAGTATTGCAATTTTTAAATCCTGACCGTATGCAGGAATGATTCGCTTGTCATTCGGATATTATGGTGGGTTTTTGAGCCTTGTGTAGTAAATGTCCTTCATGGAGTGCCTTTCTCCTTTAGGGTACTAGCAGGCCTTCTCACTATCATGTCTTGTGGGATGACAACTGTTTTACTGCTGACGAACTCCAGCTGCTAACCTACCAGCTGTGCCACACCTATGTCAGATGCACTCGATCTGTCTCCATCCCTGCTCCTGCTTATTATGCCCATCTTGTGGCATTCAGAGCTAGGTACCATCTTGTGGACAAAGAGCATGACAGGTGGGTTGTCTGCATCATCTGTAAGTTTTGCTGTTGTGTGTTGTTCTGTAACAATATTGTGCAACTTTATTTACATCTTTCCCACTACTTTTCCGATAATTTCACCTTGACAGCCTGCCTCCTCATTTCTGACTAGAAAGCTGGGCAGTGAAATTACGTTTCATAGAATATTATTTCATCTTTTTTTGCTTGTATAGGCTTGTACAGTATATTGCTTTGTTATATGCATTGTGCTTCATCAAAAGTGTTCTTTATATGGATGCATGACTGATGCACACTTAGGCCTTGTAAATACAGGCTTCAGCTAGTGTAAGTGCAGTGTGTAGAGCAGGCTTTTACAAAGCTTTCAGCCACCCAGCCAGCTACAAGCAGCTTTATTGAAAACGTCATCCTTTTTCCTGTCGCCATGAGCCATATTTCTGAGCTGTACTTCTCCAGCCACTGTGGCCAGGGCAGAAGCTGATCAATGGAGTAGAAAGGTGACATTAGAGGTGTAATGGACCACAAGTTTCTCCTTAAAGAGAACCTGTCACCTATAATGTACTATCACATGGGGGACAATTGGCTCACTATGTGATAGTAATACACTTAAAGGAGAACTATGGGGTCAGGGCTTTTCCCCATAGTTCTCCTTAGGGTAACGGGAGGACACAAACTAGCGTCCTCCCGTTACCCTAAGCTCAGTATACCGCGAGCTACAGCTCGCGGTATACTGAGACGCCACAGCCGGAGCGGATCCCGACATCGATGTCGAGATCCGCCCAGCTGCATGAGTGACAGCTGGCTCTGCCTATCTAGAGGCAGAGCCAGCTCTACCCGCCCCCTCCCCCGTCCGTTCCGCCAGTCAGCGCTGGCGGATCGGAGTGGGGAGGGGGGAATCCAGCCCCTCCCCTGTCACGGCAGAGAGCCGTGACGGGATCGAGAGGTGAGCGAACGCCGGTATCTGTTCCCTCACCTCCCGATCTACTGAGCCGACCTGTAACAGTCTCATTGTCACAGGTCGGCTAGAACTATGAGGTGAGTGGAAATCACTCATGTCATAGTTCTCCTTTAAGTAAAAAAAAATTAGAATTGCGGCACACATGTTCCATGCATGCCAGGGTAGGAGCAATAATTCTAGTGCCATTATTCACTGTTTACACTAAACTAATGATCTGTAAATATTTTTAAACCATTGCTTTTGGACAATTTTGAGTATCAACGTTTGTTGCCATTTCACGGGCGCATGCAAATTTAAGGCTTGACATGTGTGTTCTCCATTTACTCGATGCAACTATATCTTTTATATGTTACAAAAAAAAATGGGTATCGTATTTAGGTTCACTAAAATGGTTTTGAATGCATTTTTGTGTAAATACAGTAAACTCTGTTATCCAGTATTCAACAAACCAAAACTCATCTAACCAGAAAAAAAAATCCCCTGTGTACTCCCTGTTCTGCTGATCCGTGGCATGTATTATCCTGGAAATGATCTTGTGTCTGTTTTGTCTTTAGTTTGTCTATTTGTCTTCGCCTTTGATTACTGCATTTCAATATGAATATCAATATAGAGTTTGTTATGATATGTTATAGTATGGGGTATGGTTAATAGTACCTCTCAAGCAACCAGAAATATATATATATA